ATATATGGAGAAATAAAACTAATACTCAAACTAAGAACTATATTACCACTTGTTTCCAGTACTGGAAACATGTGCTCTACCACAGAACAACCTGGAAGCAACATTCTCAGCAATGAATTTAACTTCATTTTTTTTTATATTTTAATCACTATAGTAAGTACTTTTAATACAATTCTCTACAGTCATACCTAATAATGCTTAAAAGCACACTATAATGTAAAGGAGACAGATATCTCCAAACAAATACACCAGGGTTCAAGTTATAATTATCTGTCCAGGGTAAATAACAATGCTTTTGGGAAGAGAAATTCTTGGAGCCAAATGAAAGCCAAGCAACAGTCTATATTATGAAATATGTTTGACTGAAACATGAAATTATTATTCAAACAGTACTGAAGTTGTCTAGAAGAACAAATAGTGGAGGATGCCAGAATGTATTTACTCTAGGGTTTCAAATAATGCTTTCAAGAGTGTAGTTAATTACGTCACAAATTCTAACTCGGCACACTTAGTTGCCAAAAATACCAAGAAAATGGTAAAAAATAAATAAATAAGCAAGTAAATAAATAAATAAATAAATAAAATGAGAGGGCACTACCAGCATCACAATTTTTTCTCATAACTGTATAAACAATATCACAACACACCTAAAAGAAACCACCACCAAGAAAAAATGATAATTAACAAAGTGGAATACTTAACTGAAAGAGGAGGAAAACTCGAAATAAAACTTAGTGTTCTAAACTATTATAAAAGTAACTATTCACTACAAAGAATTTCTAGAAATATGAATTACTGAAATTATTTAGTAACACACTGGAAGAAAATGCAATGTCAATGAAAGGTCCAAGAAAATGCTTCTCTCCGCTTTCCTAGAAAGACATGGAAAATGAATGTTTTTACTTATCAAATTGATTTAGAAGTTCTAGAAAGTAAGAGACTACACAAGAGAAAAAAAAGATAAGGAAAAAGAAAATCCACTACAGAAAGGCTGACCTAAACTTTCATATTCAAACTGTCCACTAAACCTTTAAAGACAATGAGCAAAAAATGAGACTCTAACTCACCCTCCTTTAATTTCATAATTCTAAAGACACAGAAGCATCAACAGGTCCCATAGAACAAAAGTGGATTTTCCGCAAAGAAACATTCCTGAGCCACACCGCTCCTCAGTAAAACTGGTCATTAAAGGCAAACAAACGCAGCCTTCACAATTCTGAATGAAGGCAATTTAAATGTGAATTTAAACCCAGCCAAGGAATGTACCAGACATGAAAGTCAAAAGGACAGTTTTAAATATTACACTGGCAAACACCCATACACATTACTCCTGAAAACATGTATCAGCTTAGGAGACATTGTAGGAAACTGTGAAATGAGTTCAAAACAAAATAATAACAATATGAGATCCAAGGACGCAAGTAGCTTAATAGAGAATGACATGGTGTTATCATACCCAGAAAACATTACATTAGTACTTCGCATATTGGGATTAAAAAGCAAAACAATCAATGAATAAAGCATATGTTTTTCAACCAGCAGGGGAGAAACATAGCCCTAAGAATGTTCAAGAAAAAGACAGGCATTGTCACCAATACCTACAATTCTAAACTTGGGAGACTGAGGCAGGAAGAACATAAGTTGAAGGTCCGTTTGGGATATACAGTCAGACCTTGTCTCAAAAGCCATAAAAGGAAAGAAAAAAAAGTTACAAAAATCATGATGCAAACCATAGAAAGACATAATTTTGAGAACTGAGAAGCTACAAAAAGTCCCTTTTATCTTTAGAATATCATAAATGTTGTTCTTTGCTTTTCAGTTATAGCAGTTTAACTACTATAAACCTTGGCAATAAACAATAAATATTATATATAGACAGTACAATCCATAAAGGGAATATTAGGAATTCAAGACACAGTTTACAAAAGCAAATTTAGAGATAATGTTCTCAAAGGTGCTGGTCCAACATCTAAGTTTTAGCCATAAAGGCAACAAAACAAAAAGGAAAAGGTAAATAGGTCTCCCAAGTTAACTTTTTTTCATTTTCATAACAAAGACACCAGATTATGTAAAAACAGTTATTCAAAAATAAAGTACTGTGTATTGTATGTACAATTAGGCTACTGATCAACACAAAAGTTAAAGATAAAGTTTACAGCTGAGCAGCCATGGCGCATACCTTCAAGTCCAGCACTAGGGAAGCAGAGACAGGAGGATCTCTGTGGTCAGTGTGGTCTACAAAGTGAGTTCCAGGACAGCCAGAGAAACTGTCTCAAAAAGATTAGATGGATAGATAGATAGATAGATAGATAGATGGATGGATGGATGGATGGGAGGGCGGGCAAATGGGCAGGCGCACGCTACAATGATTTTCTCTAAAGACAGGAACCAACTGAAGAGGTAAAGCACAGAAACGTCTGACATTTCATTTGACACCTGAGTACTTACTCACATCCTCACATTATGTTCAGATGGTCACTACTTCTCAACAAACATAAACACGGATTCAGACAGACAAACACACAGAGTATGTGTGATTCTCTGTCCAGTTTAGGAACAACAGAATTTCTTGCATACCATTTTCTTTGTTTTCTATTATATAGTCTACAGACTAAACACCAACCTTCCATCATGGTATTTCAGAAAAGATGTGGTTAATTAAAAATACTCAAGGCCTTGGGCCTTAGACACACAGGAATATAAAGTTATCCATAGTCGTTACCTCCTTTGGGCCTTACAACAGTCTTACAAACCAGATTTTAGGAACAAATAAAGAAAAATTTTGAAGGCTTAAATGATTTGCCATCTTCTCTCCTCCCTTTCCCTACCAAAGAAAGAGAGAGAATATAAACTAGTTAAGAAAAAAAAAATTCAGAGCCGGACGGTGGTGGCGCATGCCTTTAATCCCAGCTCTTTGTGAGTTCGAGACCAGCCTGGTCTCCAAGAGCTAGTTCCAGAATAGGCTCCAAAGCCACAGAGAAACCCTGTCTTGAAAAACCAAAAAAAAAAAAAAAAGAAAGAAAGAAAGAAAAGAAAAGAAAAAAGAAAAAAAATTCACAGCACTGCAATCTGAATGCTTTCCAAATACATAAGAATAAAAGAAAAAAGTTAACATCGAAGGTCAGTTGTAGCAGGAATTCTAATAAAACCCAGAGTCAGAAATAAGGCGGTGGGAGCTGAAGGATGAGAGAAGCAATACAGCCAGCCACTAGAGAGACCTTTAATCTCTACCAATGTTCAGACCAAAGAAGCAATCCTGTCCTCAGACTGTCTCCTCCTATAGCACTGAGCTCTTATCTCCTTCCGCTTTGTATTCCTCTCTCTGTCCAGCCAGATCACTCCAGTCTCCACCTCTCAAGTGCTGGGATCACCTTTGTGTGCGCTCTGCTTCTCTTTTAGACAGATAGCTTTGAACTAACAAGAGATCCCTCTATCTCTGCCTCCCCAAATTCTGGAATTAAAGGTGTGAGCCACCACTCCCTGGCCTCTAGGGGCTTAGCTCTGCACTCTGATCTTCAGGCAAGCTTTATCTGTTAAAACACACATAAAAAAAATATCACTACAGTCAGTCACTTTGGAAAACAAATTGACAATTTTATAAATTTAAACAGGCACTTGCCCATATAGCCCAAAATCTTATCCTAGGTTATTACCCAAAACAAATGGAAATACATTTTAATAAGGCATGTACTCAATGGTCATAAAAAGTTTATTCATAATATTCGGAGACAGTCCAAATTTCTACTAAGTATTAAAAGGATAAAGGCAGAAGTGAGTGACATGCCTATAATCCCAGTACTCAAGATGCCTAGCAGGAAGGTCATCAAGTTGGATGACTACCTGAGCTACATGACCTTGGGTATAAAGTAAGATTCTGTTTCAAAAAGAAAATTAGAAATAAACAAATAAATGAAGAACTTTATTTCCACACCTCAGAAATTCTACTTCTCACATATACCACATGGATAAAGCACTCAAGTATGTACAGGAAAGAAACCAGACACAAAAGACTGTGGATTTCAAGAGTCCATTGAACTGAAATCTTAGAAAAGCATAATTATAGTAACAGACAGCATGAGGTGGTTGTCAAGGTTGAAAGAGAAGCACTGAACCAAAAAGAGGCAGAAATAAACTTTCATAGAGTGACGGACATGTATGAGGACTGCAGTGTTTGCTGCATCACCATAAATATTAGACATAACTCATTAAAATGCTATACAACTTAATGAGGCCTATTTAAAAATTCCATAATACACTTGGCTTTTTAGCATAGATATTAACCAAAGATCTCCAAAGAATATGAAAAGTAGTGTTTGAGAGGTACCTTAGTTAACAAAAATATAGGACTCAAAAGCATCCCTCATCCTATTTGATTGGTCATGCAGGTAGACAGATAAAGTGGCTGAGCATCCAGCCTAAAGACTAGATCTCTAATAAACATACAGATGATATAAGGTGGTGATCACTCAGATTATAAACTAAATTTTACATCGGCTATTTAATAATAAAAATGATGTATTTATCTAAAAAATGGACAAGAAATACACAGTAAAAGTAGATAATATAAACAAGAAATACCAAATTAAACACACAAAATCACTCTCCACATTTGAAGTTTTACATCATAGCTTTAACTTACCTAATTTATGGACCTGTTCAACAATTCAACAGTGTGTGGACTAAGCTTTCCCTTCCTTTCTACCACCATACAAATTGACTCAATAGAGTATTTTTACCTAAGTATTTATATTATACAGACACAAGAGTCCTTTTCTGTATAAGTAATTCTGTAAAGTCTGTAGAATATGAAGACACCACAGAAAAATACAGTACTTACATGTGTGCATATAATTACAAACTACAAAAATCAAAATTAGAAGGAAATTCCCAATAAGCAAATTCCTAGCCTACATGTTGAGCATTATTTCTGTCTTAGACAGCACATCAGCATTTACTTGATCAGCTCTCAGGAAACACTCGCTGTTCAGCACTTAACTTACCCCTCTTCTGAACCCAACCTTCTTTCACAATGGTAACATCGCTCATGATGGCTCCCCTCTGAGCCCCCAACTTGGAGAAATGATGCTTTGCAGGATCAGTTTTAGGATTTGGATTCTTTGCTGCTGCTGCTGCTGCTGCTGCTGCTGCTTCCCACTCTCTAGTGATGACTCAGCCTGGAAGGAAGTATTGAAGAAGAATTTCTTTTTTTCCCCATTCTTGAACTCACATAGCAATAACAAACAACTAAGCCTTTGTAAATGCCTTCATTTGACCTGACGTCACATAAAGTCTAATTTTTCACACATGAGGTGCTTATTTATTGAACAGCTCTGTAATGACGACACTGCTCTGGTCTTGTGACAAATGTGACATGACAGTGACTGGAAAAATGTCCTGACAAAACCATGTCAGACCTACACAAACAAACAGAAAGCATGTCTCAGAACATATACTGAAATGACGGGACAAAGAATAAAGTTAAGTGGCTCAAATCCCTCTAATTTCAGATAGTTATGTCAAAGTACTTTATGTAAAATACAATGTGCCATGAAACTAATGTTTATATAATCCGCCTTGCTCTAAAAATATTTCAGGTAGATTACATTAAGTACACAACATTTAGTAATTTTTTTGGTAGATAAAGAAAGTGAAACAAAGGAAATATGAAGTAAAAAAGACATGACAATAACTAACTGCTCATCTATCATAATCTGATCATCTTCACAACTGTATTAGGGCATTATTAATTTCACAGAATGGAAAAAACGGGGACTCACAGAGAAAAGGTAACTTGCTAGACTTCAAGGTAGTAAACTGTAGAGCTAAGTTCTGAATTCAGAATGCCTGACTCTGAAGTCTGCTCTCTTCATTTCAAAACTCTACATGTGAAAGATGAGCCAAATTTATGGAATAAAATGTTTTAGGAAATTTGCAAATTCAAAAATATGACAGGTTTCAATGCAACAGTATCTGTAATATAAAAAAAAAACAGAATTGCTCAAAAAGAAATAGAGTGTTTTCTAAGACAAACAGTAGAAATGTATGCCCTGGGTCTTTATATGATAAATTCGGAGTAAAAAGGCTTTCATATATATATATATATATATATATATATATATATATATATATATATATGGCAATAAGCTTAATGAACTATTTATTATTATCCCTACCAATCTAAGAAAAAAATTGCTTCTACATTTGCAAAAATATGGACTAGATATGCTGGTGTTAGGTGGCCAAGGACAAACGGCATGAACTCTAGGTAACTAGATAAAAAAACAAAAACGGACATCTAGAGTAACTATACTACTCCATGAAGTTGGGTTTTCATAAATAGTACACAGCATTAAATTCAACGTTAAATTCCCAGCTAGTACTGAACTAAATTATAAGTTTTCCTCCAACACATATTATATGTGAAGCCTAACTTTTTATCAATCAGTGATTAAAACTAAACATTCTCTGAACAATCTGACAAAGCCTACATGGCTCAATAGAAGACCACCCTGTCATGGGCTATACAAATATGTTACGTGCAATACATAGGAGAAAGGGCAGAACTACTCAAAAGCATAATCATGGGGACCTGTTGCCGCAGAATAAAGACAGATGCTGCAATCTGGGTCTCTTTCCCAAAATGATGATTGTTTGAAAGAACATTAAACTAAAAGATCTGGAAAAAATAAATCGTTTGTTCAGGTAACTTTGGGGAAATTTTATAATTCTGTCTTCCTGACACATCTCTCCTAACATTAAATATTCTAAAATGAGATATAATTTACCACCAGCAATTCCCACAATGAATACTGCCAGGAGTATTTAAAGCAATACAAACTTCACATTAAAAACAGAACAAAAAAATTAATAAAAGCCCTAAAGTATAGCATTCAAACATCATTTTAGTTTGATTGGGATCATATCTGAAAAACCCAAGTAACTGCATATTGTATAGCTAAATCAAAGGGTTAACTCTGTATATTGTATAAAGAATTTTACGTTAAATACTGTAAAAGGCTAGTGAAAAATGACGTCATCATCATAGCTGCACTCAGCTCTTCTCACTGGTACTATTTAGACAAATGAGCTCAATTTCTAGTAAGATTGTTTATTTTTCTCATTATAAAACTACAATCTGGACAAAAGAGAATTTATATCATTCTTGGGAGTAAAAGTAGAATAAATATTAGAATAATATCAAAAACAATATATCAAAGAGATACTTCCAATTAAAGTAAAATGTGTTGGAATACCCTTACGAAGAACGCTGAGAGGATGGAAGTCTTCCTGAAATTCAACAAGATCAATCAAATCAAATAATCTTATTTTATAATGGATCTGTTTCTGAAAACTAATTTCTTGGACAGAGAGAGACAAAAAAAATAAAAAAAAAAGAGATAGGGAGGGAGAGGCACGGAAGGGAAAGGGTGGAAAGAAGGGAGGGAGGAGGGAGGAAGGGAGGGAACAATCAATGAATATATGTTTTTTAAAAAGCTTTTAAAATGTACATTAAATTAAAGCAGCAAGTTTTACAAACTTTATTAGGGCCACTGCACCTAACTGTTAGAGAAGGTCTTATTCCATCGCATTTGAAACAAGTTATCAAATTTTACCTATAACCACAACTTTCAGTTTTAAAACCTGTTCTTGTATCTAAAAGCTAAAATGATATCTTCATTAAAGATAGTTTTTAAAATGTAATCATTAGATTAGCAGGAAAGGCTGTCTTTAATATGTAAAAGCAATGCTATTGGCTCCTAAACAATAAACATATTCTCTGGTTTGATTTCCTAAGTGGCAATGCTCCTGTTCCAGTCTTCTAGTCTCCTGTTAAGTCACCCACATTTCCATAAACACTAGTCCACAAGATGAGCTAAAGTTCTGTCACCTGTTTCCAATGGTAAAGCAAACTTGACCCTCCTCCCATAGTAACTTTTGTAGAAATATGCTCTCTGCAGACTCTCTCCAGTGAGTTAACATAAAATTTGGTTTATTTTTAAGTTTATTGAATTAAATATTTTAGTGCTAGATAATCTAATTTTTTATCACTTATAAAAAGTTACACACAAAACTCATAGTGAATTCAGTAGTAAAGTTATTTTCATTCATGATTCACTATTAGAGAATATAATAACTTCATCTGAATATCATTTTATACTATACAAAACCTTTCCCATCTTTAATTCTACTGAATCACAATATAAATTATTAAAGCAATTTGACTGTGCCTGGCACTTATTCAACAAATACAGAATTAGTGAATAAGTAGATGAATGAACAAAGATGTAACAGCTTTAGATAATAGAGAATAAGCTATGCAAACAAGTTTAGTAAGTCAACAGCGAAAATGGCAAGTTGCTATTTTTAAAACAAAAGTAAGTTTAAACATTATGGAAGCAGTTACATGTAATTAAAATTCCTGTATGTTAAGTCATGTTTCCGATGGCCTTCCATAAAGTGCAAGGACTAGACTATATTAAAACTATCCTATTTTTTCTTGACATTTTAAATCACTTTGTCTTAAGATCATCAATTTTCAACTCCAAATAAAAGAAACCTTAATGTACCCAAAATTATTCATTATCGGAAGATTTTCTTATTGATGCTTTAAATAATTTTCAAGACTTCAGCAACCAGTCATGCAATTTAAAGCAATAATATCAAACATGCTTTAGAATGTCATTCACTCAAAAAATGTGAACTATACCAATACTTATTCAGTCAATAAATTATAATATATATGTATATACTGTCTACTTGGTGACAAGAACTAAAATAGCATCTTAAATCTTTCCCAAGCCTATTATATATTTGCTATCCAAGATCTTTCATTTATAACCCCTATTGGATTCTTAATTATGAACCTAAGAAAAGTGTGGCCAAAAGCAATAATGACACTATTTCCCACAGTTGCCACACACAGGGACAATCAATAAAAGTAATCACCTGCAATTAAGGTCTTCCATCAGTTTCATCTGCATTATACGAAATAACAAAATATAAACTGTCAAATGTAATTAACAAAATGTTTTAAAGTAAACCAAAGAAAATAAAAGTATCAAGAAAACTATCACAAATGAACATAAAACTAAACTTAGATTGAAAAGCACGCAGTAATTCTTTCATACAAGTGAAAAGACACAGTAATTCTCTTTCATACAAGTAAGTGCAAAGTTCATATGTAAATAATTTCCTGTATGTCAGCTACCTCTTTTTTGGGGGAGGGGGGGAAGGGGATCTCTGAGACCTGTAAGCCTGACAACCATGGAGCTCACTAAGTATCAGGAAGTGTCCTTGAACCTGACTCAAACCCCCAAGTGCTGGGATTAAAGACATGATCCGTCAAACCTGGCTTCATACATGCTTATTTCTAAATTAAAATCCATAATAACTTTCTTTAAACTATAGTTGATCTTTGGCTGTAAGGTTCTATGCTATCATTTTAGACTTTATGATAGCCAAACTGAATTAATAAAAGAATTTAATTTTAACAACTGATATTTTAAAACATAAATGATGAGCAAGAAGAACTACTTTAGATTCTATGTAGTTTCAGATTTTAGTAAGTATATTGTAAGAAAAATCTAAACCAGGATGAAGCACATGACTGCAATCCCAGCTACTCTGGAGGCTGAGGCAGGGGGATCACAAGTTTGAAGCTAGTCTCATAAGTATAGCAAGTTCAAGGTTAGTCTGGGCCACTTGGTGAGACCATGGCTCAAAATAAAAGCATTAAAAGGGAGAATCTGTCAAAGCTGGTACAATAAACAAAATCCTGCTTTTGATCCCCCCCAAAAAAGAGAAGTAATAACACTGTAGTTTTTTTTCTAAAACCTGCAACTTTTAGACAAACCATCAGATCTTTCAAATTGTTAATTCTTAAAAACCAACTCTATAAACAAAAATACACATACAAAAAAAAGCATTTTCCTCTTTTTCTCTACATCAATGTACAATCTCAACCAATGTACATCTCAACATGTCCATTATTAAAAAGCTTGTGCTAGGTGATATACCTAATAGTCTGACTTAAAACACTGATATGTTTATCCTCTGCTTCATGTAAACCAATAAAAAAAGCTATTAAGACAACCCCTTTTACTTCTAACGTAAATTGTTGCTTAACTGTATATGAAGACACCTAAGATAACTTAGGGCTACTAAAGAACACTGGCTCAACTGGCCATTTAATTCAATATACACACAGAATTCTAAAATCTGCTTCAGGCACCTCTCAACTGTAAAATGGAAGTACTTAATGTACACACATAAAACCTATCTCTAGTCCACTAAACGTCAAGAATTACTGGCAGATTTTCCCCCCAGGATTAGAATCCCTGGCAAAGTTCTTCTCAAAGTTTTCTTTAGAAAAAGCAACAGACAGACCAAAAAACTTTATTAACTATTTTCAACTCTGCTTCATTCAGACTGGTACTGATAATGTCCCTTTAATTCTCTGTGTCTCGATTTCCTTAGCCACAAAGGAAATGTAGCATTAGATATTCGATAGCTTTTTCATAGCTGATAATTAGGATTCTTCACATTGAAATCTACAATTGACTTCATACAGAAGTGGCATTGCAGATGACAATCATGATTATGTACAGCTCCTATCCTCAAAATTTAATATACAGTTAAAACAAAGCATCAAGTAGGCAGGCATTCAACTCAAACCAAATCTGGACTAATCTCCATTATTGGCTAAATTCTACCTTCCTGTTCGAAACTCCCAGACATCCAGATATAGTCAGGGACTTTCTTAATATAGAAGAGATAAATTCTCCTCTAAACATCTTTTGTTTTCTTCTATAAAACCTTTTTAATTTCCTTTCAGAATACAAGAAAAATTACCCATTTAGAAATACAAAGTACATTAAGGCAATAATTTTTAAATAAGTATATTTGAATAGTTTTTTAAGAACTAAAAGCATATTTATAAGCCAAAAGGTGTATTAATCTATTCTCCAACTATTTGAAGATTTCCTAGGAGAAGTAAATGTACTTCAAATTTGATGAAAGATGCTACAATAAACTATGTAAACATTTGAGGTATTTATTTGAAACAACTAAAATGAAAGAAATATTAGCAGTTTAATCAATATAGCTTTTAAAACTATATTAACTTGATCCTGTGGAACTTATTATAGTATAGATCATAATATAATTATATATATATATACACACATATATAATTTAGCAAAGTCACTGTGGACTCTAAGAATGAGTACAAACAAAGCGTTTCAGAATAGGAAATTTTAAATGAAATGATTTTTATGCTGTATGGAGTGTTTCTTATGTAAAGTTCACTTTCAAAAGGGCATCAAGATTGTTCCGAAGATTAGATGAATTACAATATTAAAGTATATAGCAATACCTGGCACATGGCAAGTGCTCAGGGGTTAGTGGCTAGAATTAACTGGAAACTAAGTCTAGTAATATTAGATATTAAAGACTTTAATGACACATCTGTTAATAGTAGTCTACCTTAGAAAAGAATATGCTGCATTAAACCAAAACTAAGAATGCAGAGGATGCTGAAATATGGCACTCAACCGCAACTTTTAAATATTAACACAAACCTTCCATTAAAAATAGTTGCATTATTAATTCAAGGTAACTTGAAAATGCAATCAAATGTAAAATTAACCAAATAAAGTAATTTTTGGTCTTGTATTTAATTGAAGAAATTCAAAACGATCCCAAATTGGTCTTCTTTTTAATGCTATAAACTTAATCATTATAAAGCCAAGATCTTGCTAAATTATGACTCAGATCCAATTAACACATTAACAGGAATCACCTTTTCATCCCAGGGATAAAGTCTTGAACTTATAGATACTACAAAGTAAAGTATTATTAGTTATCTCTTCATAAAAATATGCAAAGTTGAATTAAAAGCTAAACTTGTAAACAATGTATGAGACAAGTTCCCCTTTATGAAGATGCCTAAGCATTTAGAAATTTTCACATTAAAATCAAAACCTGGAGTTTAAAATTCCTAAACCCCTACACTGAAATCCATGCTTTGTCCCTGAACTTTAATCAAAAGACTTGAGATGCACAGTCCTACAAAACAAACTTTAATGATGGTATCTTCTGAATGAAGTGCTAAAACCTTACCCCTCCAAAGCATAATCCTCATCTTACTATTTATACAGTGAATTGAACCTTACTTAAAATGTTTTAGCTGAAAAATTACATATACAAGCTTGTACTGTTGGTACATACCTATAATCCCAACACTCAGGAGGCTGGGGCAGGAGGATCCCTAGCAGGCCAGCCTAGGCTACAGAGTTAGTTTCATAGACACCTAAGCTACACAGGGAAACCCCTCTATTCCAAAATCACAATAAATACATTACAAATATAAAAAAATCCAAAGATTTTCAAGTATTCTTTCATATACAATGCAAAACTACCAATGTTAAAGTTAAAGAAAAATAATTTTAAGTTGAAAACTATTCACTCATCAGTACAGAAAACCTAACTGTAGGGGAAAATGAATAACAAATTTCATAATTTTTGTAGTAATAACTTTTAAAAACTAAGAAAACATGCTACTGCAAATATACAAAACAAACAAAACCCTACACCTACACTCATCCAAATTTGTCACATTCAAATGACACTTTAAAATTAGAACCTCAAGATACTAGGGTCATCTCTGCTTTTCAGAAAGTTATTAAACAGAATCAAGATTTCATAATGACAAAAGGAAGAAAATCTAGTCTTGACCTGCACCTTGAACGCAGTTTCTGGTCATACAATCTGGAAAACTAGTAATTCATGAAGATACTTTTTCAAAATGTTTTGAATAACCGTCTTCTGGACCATTCAGACCCATCTTCATGCCCTGAACCATATTTATTGGACGCTTCCACCTTTGGCTTTTTCAACTTTTTCCTAAGTGAATATATAACTTAACAGGAGTACCTACCATAAGCAAATGAAGTGGCTGTTTAGAAATTTATATTTCTACTAAAAAATATGACCGTGCTTTACCAACTACGGAACACATGTCTAAACTGATGATCTGAGACAACTGTCAATGTTTACATATGAAGTCCTTGTGCTGTATCCCTTTCAGGACACACCAAACGTGTGATGACTCTATCAATAACAGAAATTAACCGATACAGATTCACAGGTTTTATTGTTGAATTTCTACCTGTAAACTTTATCAATTACCATCCATCAATGTTTTTAAGCAAAATCACACTGGTGAAATGAGTTTTATTTTCATAACATTCTTTTGATGGAGATATGAGAGAATCCAAGCTTTAGCTTATGGGTAAGCATTTTTTTTCCTGCTTTCTAAAGATAACAGTAAACACCACTACTGTAAAAACCTGGCCCTAAAGTGAGTCAGTTATCTCTAACCTAAGTGTAGATTCCCAGGAAATCCCACACAAGGGGCGACCCCGCCTCGGCACCAGGGCTATCATTGTCACCAGCCTAAGCTTCAACTTTGGGCTTCTAAAGGGCCTCACCAGCATCATGGCTGATGCAGACCGATGCGCAGGAGGCGGAGGAGGTGGACAAGGAAGAAGCTGGTTTGTTTACTTGCAGCCTGAGCCGCCGCCGTCGCCGCCGCCGCCAGCGACAGCATCAGTGGATCAGCCAAACCCAGCATCTTCCGCACATTTCTATTCTTAGCACACAACTCCCTAGCGGATCAAAACCCCACTACTATTAAAAACACAGACCAGACTTGCACGTTACCCACCTCGCACACGCACACCCGCACCCCATCAGCACCGTCCTCTCCCGGGCGCCGGCGGGGTGCGGCGAGGTGGGGTGGGTAGCGGGAGAAGGAAGGAGACCCCGGGGACGCCGGTGCATCCTCGCCCGCACTCCCGCCACATGCGCAGACGGCCCCTCCCCCCAACCCAAACACCGACTCGCCACCGGCTGCTGGCGTTACATAACCTCGCTGCCGCCCCCCGCCCCAGCCCGCCGCCCCCTCCCCTTGCCGTGCAGCCGGGCGAGTTAGGGGTGAAGAGGCCGGGCTCGAGCGAAGCAGAGCCCTAGGGCGCCGGGCCGCACGACCCAGACACGCAGCACACGGTACCGCTAGGCCGGGAACACCCCCTCCCCGGCCGTCCGCGTACAGCCACCGTTCCCCCGCCCCCCCAAGCTAGGGGGTGTCGGTGTCACCCACGCGGGGCATCCCCCGGCCTCCACCTACACACCCATAGCCCCCAAGCCTCCGGAGGTAGGGGGAAAGCCGGTCCCCCACCCACGCCCCCGGCGGCCGCGGTGACACCCAGACGCCCCCGCCTCACCCACCCGCGTCGCCGCCGCCCCCTCCCGAGGGAGGCAGGAAGGGAGCCGCGGAGCCCTCGGGGAGTTCGACGAGGCGGGGAGGGGGGCGAGAGCTGGGGGCGGCGGCTGTTACCTGCAAAGGCGGCGGCGGCAGCCCCGCAGCTGCTCGGGCGGTGGCGGAGGATGGAGCGGGGGGGCGGGGGGAGGAGAGGGGGCGACTCGGGGGTCCCCCTCCCTCCTCCTCCCCTCCTGTCCTCCCCCCCACCCCGCTGAGCCTCTGGCCCCCTGGAGCCCGGTGCTGCCGGCGGGAGGGGAGACGAAGGCTGCAGGGGAGGGAGGGAGGGAGCCGGCCGAGCGGGCGGGCCGCGGCGCTGGAGCGGGCGGCGGCGGCGGCGGCAGCGGGAGGAGGGAGGAGGAGGGCGGGCGGCGGCGGCGGCGCGGGGAGGAGGAGGAGGCGGAGACTCTACTTGGGAATCGGATATCGGCTACAAATTCAATTCATCACCAGAAAACACCGCTCGGGTGGGGGGCCGGGTCCAGGTGCCCGGCCTCGGGGCGGAGGCTCCGGGCCGAGCGTACAGGGCCTGAGACCCCGGACAGCGGCCTCGCCTCGGGGACCCGGCAGCCGCCTCCCCGCCCCCTCCTTCCTCCCACCGGGGGCTGCCGCCGGAGCTTCTTGCCGCCGCCGCCGCGGGGCTTGTTGTTGACTTTGAGGAAAACTCCTGACGTCAGGGGCTGGCTCTCCGCGACTGGCGGGAGCGGCTTCCCCGCGCCCCGGCCCCTGCTCGCCGCCTCAGCTCCGCGCCCCAACCGGGCGCTCGTCCCCAGGTTGCCCCGCGCCCCTCAGACCCGCGGCGACCCGCGCCCCTCGGCTTCCTCTCGCGAGAACACCTCCCCTAGCAGCCCGCGCCGCGGGGCCGCTGTTCCCGCCGCCGGGAAGTTGTGGGTTTCCCCGGGCAGGGTGGCCCTCGACGGGGCGCCCGAGGCCCCGGACGGCTTTCCCCGGACACCCACCGCACTGGGACGCCGCGGGGGGTGCGGGCCCGGGGTGAGGTGAGTCGCTCTCACCTGTACCTGGGCGAGGCAGACTCGGGATCGGTGCAAACCAGGTATCTGACTATCCCGGGAGACGTGGCCGTCCAGTCCGAGAGCCAGCCGCCACCAGTGGGCTGGAGGTGGCAGTGACATCCCGAGCCCCTCAATCACCTCCTTGTGTGGGGTGTTTGACTTTGGGGCATTACGAAGACGTTTCTTTTGAAGTTCATGGCTGAGGAGACTTAGTACAGTGGAGACTGGTTTTTAGAAAATGACCGTATTTTACCACATAGCACCCACTCCTGGAAGTCATAAAAGTTTACTTTTCCTGATACCGTTCCAGCACTTCTGGAAACACCTCGCGAACCGATATTAATCCTAGTGGGTCTAGTCTTTTGGAAGAACCCGTTAGTCTCTCCCATTGTAAGAATGTGTTTGGTACCTTGGGCTTCTTCCTGCATACATTTCTGTCGCCTGTCCCTCTTCTCTAGCTCTGATGTTTTGCACTACACCCCCATGTCTATACAGTGCATCATGTCTTCACATGCTGCACAGTTACCAGTGAGCTAGCTGGGTCCCCATCAGGTCCAAAGTCACTGGTAGTGGTGTGTGTCTTCTAATGGAAGACTTGGATCCTCGAGTTGCAAAGGCTGGATTGGGCTGGCAGGTTTCAGATGTTTATAGCTCTAGCCAGAGAACTGTAGTTTGTGTTTCTGAATGTTAAGAAGCAGAACCAAATAGCTCTAAGAACGTATATAAAGACTTACTGCTCTGGCTTTGGTTTCCAATAGCCCAGAACTCTTGAGGCTCAACAGTTGGCTCTGTCAACAGTAGTGAGCATCAGCTAGGAGGAGTACAGCTTTGAGTTGTTGGTGTTGGTACCTAGTGACAGACCTGCAGTCTCTGGACTTCCATGGTCCATAACTGCCGTGACCGCCCTCTCAGCACCTGTTTCTCACCACCCACAACCGCTTATGTTGGTCTCGACTGTTTGGCTGCTGCCGCTACTTGCCATGGCTTGTTGCCACTGGAGCTGTGCTGCCTTTTCCTCTTCCTGCTACTACTTCCGACCACTCTACCCATGGTGAACATCCCAGGGAAGCGTGGAAAGACCATTTGAGAAATCCTTCATTGGGCCTGATACTGCTAACAAACAAACAAACAAACAAAAAACAACAACAACAACAAAAAAAGACATTGTCTTTTAGGGAGTGTGGAAATGAAGGATTGTATTTGTACTACTCAACACAGCGTTCAGTTCCACCAGCCACAGGCTAGCCTGTTTGGGCTGCACAGAGGAATCCTGTCTTGCCAAATTCTGAATAATTCACAGACTTAAACATTGGTTTACTTATTCATTAATTCAATACTTGTTCTATGCTACTTTGTAACAAGACTTGCAGGACAGTTGTCCTTTCTTTTAAGACATAGATGCTGACCAGTACCATCTAGCCTGAAAGTACCCCTTAAGAATCACTGAGTTGGTGATGTAGCTCAGTTAAAAATAATTGATTAAGGTGCACTAGGTCCCAGGTTCAATACCCAGCACCACAAAACAGTTCACAAGGTTGGTCTTGCCTTGAATACTGCTTTCAAAGGCTGGTACAGGTTATCTAAAACAATTGTGGTGACTGGGGAAAGACCTATAAAGCAGGAGTCATGTGCTTTCTCCTTTTCCCATAGCTCCTGAAAGTCATGAGTACAAATGAGTAAGTCCTAATTCTGTTCAGGTTGTCCAAAATACACATTTCCAACATTATCAGACCTCTGACATTAGCTGTTGGCAAAACGATGGGGTTTCAAGTTTCATGTGTATAAAACAAAAATGGGTCAGATTTTTATTTTATAACAGCCTAAGATGCTTTTTTTTTTCTTTTAAGAAAATATTCCCTTTGGGGATGGAGAGATAGCTTCATGGTTGAGAGCATTTCCCTACTCTTCCACACCCACGTCAAGCCGCTCACGATGCCTATAACTCCAATTCCACAGACACACAAAAAAAATAAATATTTTTAAAACAAAATAGTCCTTATAATAGCAGTGCTACAAATAATGGCAAACTCTTACCCCACAAATCACCAACTGTACTTGGCGGAGGGGGCTAGGTTGATCCTGAGTGTTGTACAGAACCTGAGTCTTGTACAGTTAGACAAGCCCTCTACCTCTGAACTATATGCTTGCACTTGCCCATGTATACCTGCTCTCTCCCCCTCTCTCTTCTCCCCTCTCTTCTGCCTTTTTATTTTTTGTTTTTTGGAAACAACGTCTCTCTGTGTAACCACTCTGGCTGTTCTGGAACTTTTCTCTGCAAACCAGGCTGGCCTCAAACTCACAAGCATCTGCCTGCCTCTGCCTCCCAAGTGCTGGGATTAAAGAAATATGGCACTTCCGCCCGACTTGACATCGCATTTTTTTAACAAGGCTGTTTCAATGTGAGCTTTGCTCTCTGCTACTATTCCATTCAGCAGTGAACCAGTTACTGTAAACTCACCATCGCAGAATTGTTTGAGGGGTTCTTTTAGTGAACATACCAAACAGTGGATTTCATTATATCTTCATACACAGATTTCAGGTACTTTGTTATTATATCTTCATACACAGATATCAGGTACTTTGTTCATTATATCTTCATACACAGATATCAGGTACTTTGTTATTATATCTTCATACACAGATATCAGGTACTTTGTTAATTATATCTTCATACACAGATATCAAGTACTTTGTTCATTATATCTTCATACACAGATATCAGGTACTTTGTTCATGGTCTTTCCCCCCATTACCCACTCAGTTCTACCTCCTCGCCTAAGAGTCTCCTTTTACTTTCAATATTAAAATATATATTTACATCTAGTTTCCATATATGAGAGAAAGCATTTATCTTTGTGAGTCTCACTTATTTCCCTCAACACAATGCCTTCTGGTTATACCCATTTTCCTGCAAATGATATGTTTGTTCTTTATAGCTGAATAAAACTCCATTATGTATATATACCACATTGTTTTTATCTGTTCATTCACTAATGCAACACTAGGGACATCCCATGTCTTGGCTATTGTGAACAATGGCTCAATAAATACAGGTGGATTTAGGTATTTCTATGATGTGCGATCAGGAGTCATGAGGCTGGATCACACGGTAGTTGTATTTTTAGGGTTCTTTTTTTTTTGAACTGCCATACTGTGTTCTGTCTATACCTCCCCTCTTCATCCTCTCCAGCATTGGTAGTTGTCTATACCTCCCCTCTTCATCCTCTCCAGCATTGGTAGTTGTCTATACCTCCCCTCTTCATCCTCTCCAGCATTGGTAGTTGTCTATACCTCCCCTCTTCATCCTCTCCAGCATTGGTAGTTGTCTATACCTCCCCTCTTCATCCTCTCCAGCATTGGTAGTTGTTTGATTTCTTTGGAAGAGGCAGTGTACATGCTCCATATTCCCTTGAGACGGGCTCTCACCGAATTTGCTGCCAGCAATCACCATATCTTCACCCCATCCTGTGCTGGAGTAAGAAACACACAAGACCACAGTAAGCAGCTGGGGATATGGACTCGCGTTCTCATACTTACCAAGCAGATGTTCTTTCTTACCCACTGAGCCTTCCCTCCAGCCCTTGCTTGCTTGATGATAGCCATTCTGACGCAGGTGGAATGGACGTAATTACATTTACCTGGTGGCTGAGGCTGTTGAACACATTTCATGCATTTGTGCTTTTGAAAGATCTCTGTTTAATTGGTCTGCACATTCCATGTGCTATGGTCCTAGCCTGAATAAAAAGGACAAAGCAAGCACAATACCAACATTCATCTTCCTCTGCTTCCTGACAGAATACATCCCACCATCTGCCTCAAGCTGCTGCCATCATGATGTGTCCACTTTGATGACTGTACCCTCAAACTGTGAGTCAAAATAACTTTCTTCTTCAAGATGCTTTTCCTGGGTGTACAGGTTTGTTCTTTTGGGCCACCAACCAGGTCCCAAATCATGACCCAGAGACTTATTAGCTATGAATTCTCAGTCTTAACTTAGCCTCATGTCTTGCTAGCTTTAATAACTTAACCTATTTCTCTTCGTCTAGGTTTTGTCTCAGAGCTATTTACCTACCTTCCTTCAGTCCTTCCTTCTGTGTACCCTACTTTCCTGCTCCTCCAGTCTCTGGCTGGCTGGCAGCTGCCTGGCTTCTGATGCCAGGCCTGTCCCTCTCTTTTTTTCTCATTCTCTTCATTCTTTCTTAAGCGTAGATTTCTCCTTCTACTTATTCTCCCTGCCTGCCAGCTCTGCCTATCCCTCTCCTGCCTAGCTATTGGCCATTCAGCTTTTTGTTAGACCAATTAGGTGCCTTAGGCAGGCAAGGTGAAACAAATGGAACACATCTTTACATAATTAAATGCAGTACAAATAAATGTAAAACACCTTCCCATAGTTAAAGTAATGTTCCACGGCATAAACAAATGTAATACATCTTTGCCTAGTTAACGTAATATTCAAGAAGAGTTATGTATTTGGTCACAACAACAAGAAAAGTGATTAACATGGAATCATAAGTAATATGTAATAGACTGAAATTTTTGCCCTCCCCAAACATATTTGTATGTTAAAATTCTTACCATAATTTGTCGATTATATGATGCCTTTGGGGGGGGGTAATAAGTTCATGAGTGAAGCCCCCTTCCGAATGGGATTAATATCCTCTTAAGAAGACCCACCACACTCAATATAGTGGTACATACTGTTAGTCCCAGCACTCAGGAGGCTGAAGTAGAAAGATCACCAATCAATGCTAGCCAGATTATATAAAGATACTGTCTCAAAAATGCTAAACCAAATCAAACACTGAATGAACAAGAGACATTAGAGCTTGTGT